GCGCTCTGACGACGATAGGAGCGCAGCAGCGCAGCCATCACTGACCGCGAGCTCCTGGGGTGGGTCCTGGTCGCATTGGGAGGACTGGGAGGCCGCTTGCTGGGTCCCGGTCTTGTTTGGGCAACAATGCGAGCGTTGAGCAGCACATTGAGTCGCCCTGACACTGGCATAGCGTTTAGCCCTGCACTGGTCCTCAGGATGGCCTAGTCGACCGCAGAATGGGCAGGAGGTGGAGGGGCCAGCCTTGGGAAGGGAAGGGTTGCCAGAGGGAACCTTGGGGAGGGAAAACGACGCAGCAGGGGTGCGCGAAACCATGGGTGGTGGTCGATGACGTGGCAGGGGTCCGACGGGCGAAACAACGAAGCGAGGGGACAAAAAACTGCGTCTAGGAGGACAGAAGGATGGAGGCAGAGTCCCAGAGCGAAAATGCGACCAGCAGGGGCTAGGAAAGCGAGCTGGGGACCAGGGAGCGGTTGGACAGGCAGGGATGGACGTCTGAGGCAGCTAGAGCGCAGGGCTCATAACCTGTTGACTGCAGTGGGCCTCAGAGGGGTCACAATGGCCTAAGTCGAGCTCTGTAAGTCTTTTCATTGCAAGGAAACTGTGCTACACACCTAAGTCGAGCTCTGTAAGTCTTAAGGACTGCAGAGTCGACTCAGGCACAGATGACGGCGCACAGAGCGCGTGGGAACTAGCTAACACGACCATACACTAAGTGGCGCTGGAATGGCGCCAAACGGACCAGAAGTGCGTAAGGTAGACACTATTCTAGAGTGCAGTCAGATCTACAGTAATGGAGACTACTAGTGAAGGAAGTGCGATATCTCTATGTAAACAAGAGTTGTGACTATACGAAAATTATCGTAGGTGGGGGACAGCGCAAACCATGTAGGGCACAAATCAGGACTTGGTGCGATTAAAATCGACGGCGCTACAGCACCGACTCCAACAGGCTGACAAAGCCAATGACATAAGGGTATATACCCTTGTTGGACAGTCTCGAGCACCAATATCCTCTTTATGGTATCAGAGCGCCCGCTGGCTCGGTTCCAGAGCTAGGCTTTGGGACATAACCTGTGACAGGCATCCATTCCCAGGCCATTTCTCTGTCCCAGTTTGGGTCCGGGACATTGGCCAATGCCCGTCGTGCATATGTCACGGACGTTGGACAGACGCCCCTTTTTGCCGCCCATTTTCTTCTCTTTGATGCTCACCTTCCATTTTCGGACTATTTCCTTTCCTAGCCTATCCCAGTTTGGACACTGCAGATACGTTCCCACAACCGCATGCTACGTTCCTGTGATCACCATGCCCTTGCCTTTTCTTTCTTGCCCTTTGTTCTCTCTTTATCATCTTCACTGCCTCGCTCTCACGCCTTGTCCTTGGCTGCTAAGCAGCCCCTCTAGTATATAAGGACCCCCCTAGGCACTCCCTAGTCCCCATCTCGACCTCTTGGTTATTGAGACTAGGTGAGTGGCCATAGCGTTGTATTTCCCTTCGAGTGTTAATGTATAACTTGGTCATTGGGACTAGTCTGTCGCTGTCTGCGTGAAGACTAGCTTTCGTAGATCTTGTGCCTTAGTGCCGACCTCCGCTCTGTCCTCGTTAAGTTTCTTACTACAGTTATCCCTCTCTACCTCTCTCTTTTCCTTTCGGCTCCTTGCTGCTCGCCTACGAGGTCGTCGCCGAACGTCGACCCGAGTCTGCGCACCTAGTCGCTGCGACATTAGGTCGAGATCTCTCCCCCAGTGCTGACACTCTGAACAAGGGCATCCCCACCGCTACTACGTTGTCTCCCCCACCCTGGACTGCACCGGCAGACTTCACGCGTGAGACATCATCAACGAAACTCATTGCCACTGACGAAAGGATCCAGCAGATGGACTCTGGTACTGGGAACCGTGTGAGCAAAACCCCTGCCCAAATCGTCATCACCGTTCAGAACGGATCAAGTTAAGGGCCTTTGAGGACGAGTTCGTCCCAGTCCCTGACTCCCCCGTTGCTGAGTCACCTACAACTTGATCTCCCATCCCCAGTACCCCGACTGACAAGCTCGAAGTACCGTTACTCATTGCGCTTCCCCCATCCCCCACCCCTCCACCGACTCGCCCACTGTCTGCTCCACCCATTATGACGCATCCGCAACAGCAAGGTGGGCAACCTCAGACGACAGGCCCCACCAACAACCCCCAACCGGGCACCCAGACGGCGACACAACCCCCGGACCCCATGGCAATACTACTCCAGTCGATGACCCTCCTCACGCAGTCCATGGCGCAGCTCGCAAACTCGACTGCCGGGACCAACAGTCTGAAGGCCGTCCAGAAGCCCTCCCCCTTCAAAGGCAAACAAGGAGGTGAGGCACGACGTTTCCTAGCTGCGTTCACCCTCTGGGCCATGTCCCAAGGCTCAACGCTCAATCACGTTGATGCCATGGGCAACACCATCAGCGCGTGCAACGACCAGTGGATTTGGGCGGTCCTCTCCTTCATGCAGGACAGCGCGGCTCTCTGGGCCACTCCAGCAATCGAGGAGATCACGCAGGGCACCACCCCATTCAAAGGATTGTGGACCGAGTTCCGTACCCAATTCAAGGCCCGTTTCGAAACTGTGGACGAGGCGGTGGACGCAAAGGAGCGGCTCCGTACACTGTGGCAGGGCTCCATGACCGTCCCAGAGTACACCGCAAGGTTCAATGAACTCTCGACGTGCACTGGCTACTCCAAAGCTGACCTCCGCGACCGCTTCTACGAGCACCCCGCGGACTCCATCAAGGACGAGTTGGTACACACAGCAAGGCCCATCGCTTCTCTGGAGGACCTTATCACTGTCCCCTCCAACATTGACATCCACGTCCGCCAACGCCATGCCGAACAAGAACGCCAGCGTGGATGCACCACTACCACCACCACAGTGACCAAGCCAGCTATACCGCTGCACACCACCCCCTTCACACCACCCGCCAGAGACCCAAATGCAATGGACATCAATGCGACCTGTACACGCGAAGAGTTCAACCGCCTCATGCGCAGCAAGTGCTACGGTTGTGGGTCTACGGCGCACGTCAAGAAGGACGGCGGCCACAATCGGGACATCTGCAGTTACTGTCACCGCATAGGGCACCACGAGACAGTGTGCATGGACAAGTTCCTGAAGAAACCCCGCTCGCAGAAGCTCGCCGCCACGGAGAAAGGACCTGAGGAGCCCCAAGTTGCAGCGTCAATGTCGTTGTCTGCAGATGGTGGAGCGACCAACACTCTCATCGCGCAGCTCATGGAGCAGCAGAAGGCCCTCGCTGACCAGCTTGCCTCTCTGCAGAAGTCTTTTTAGAGTGGGCGCGCGCGAAAGCTACCGCAGCGGCGCCCCCTAGTATGGCTACGGACTCTCCGCCTCCCCAGATCCCTGACCCCTGCGTATACGCTAGCATTAGTTCGTGTATCATTCCCGAATTGAACCCGTCTAGCTCGCATTTCCTTGTCAGTGTGATACTTAAAGGCAGAAACCATAGCGTACGTTCCACAGCTATGATAGACAGTGGGGCAACGGCCCTTTTCATCAGCCACCGTTTCATGAAGAAGAACAATGTCTATTTACATAGGCTAGCTAGAGACATCCCCCTCTACAACATCGACAGCTCCAAGAATAGTGCAGGCAGCATATCCCATTACGTTAGATTACAAGTACTTATGGGCGACTACACGGAATGGCTCGAGTTCTTAGTTACAGACCCGGGCCCCGAAGACGTCGTATTAGGCTTACCTTGGCTTCGTAGGGTCAACCCGGACATTGACTGGCAGGAAGGCACCATGGAGGTTGGTGCGGAGGAAACGGAGGCCGAGGCGGAATGGAAACCCGGTATCGAGCGGATCGCCGCCAACCGGGTGCAGCGAAGGAAGTGGTGGAAGGCCAAGGTTCTGGAGGACACGACCGAGGAGTTGTGGTGCGCCGCGGGGTACACCTACTCCACGGAACTCGCACAGAGGGCCAACCAGGACAAGCCCAAACGCACGTTCGAGGAGATCGTTCCTGAAGAGTACCGACAGTACTCGAAGGTCTTCTCCGAGACCGAATCGGAGCGCCTTCCGGAGCACAAGCCGTACGACCATGCCATTGACCTCAAACCTGACGCACCAGAAACTCTACGCTCCAAGGCCTACCCGATGTCGCCTAACGAGCAGGAGGAGGTTGATCGGTTCCTCGAGGAAAACCTTCGGAAAGGCTACATCGTCCCCTCCAAGTCCCCGATGGCGTCCCCGGTCTTCTTCGTGAAGAAGAAGGATGG